ACTGTGTTCTCCTTCAGATAATTCTGCCTGCCTTGCTCTATCTTTTGTATAATGTCTTAACAGCTTAACTTTCCTCTGTTCCAAGTTCTTAGCACAGTTGTATATTTTGGTTCAGGCACAGAGGTGATATTCTACAATTTGTAGCTCTAATATTTAAAACTCACACTACAAATTACGTTTTTTGGTACTCCATTTTATAGCCTGTAGCTTGTCCCACTCAACTGGATATTTGCCCCATTATAGATAACGTACATATGCTTCCGATAAATGCTTTTCTCTTAAGTTCTGAGCTTTTTAAAGGCAGGAGCAAAATCCAGAGGCAGTAAGAGACCTACAGAGGTGTGAACTATACTAACAAATCAAGATGCAAAGGAGAAACGAGTAGCAACCATTTCATAGAGCATGTAAAAAGGCCCCCCAAAAATCTGCCTTAAATATGGTTGATAAGGATTCACGTCATTAGATTGAAATTTGAGGAATTGCACATGACTTTTTTTTTTCTAAGCATGAGTAATACTGTCTTTGGCTTATGAACATGAGCAATCCAATGCAGGAGGATGGGATGAGAAGAGCACTGGAAATCTTAAGGAAAATCATTAAGACCCAGGGTGAGAGAGAGATTGCATCCAAGCAGAGGGATGTGATTTGCCAAATGGGATGAGAAACACATCTGAAGTTACATGACTATAGCGTCATTGCCTGGGTATCCGCCATTAAAAAGAGAAGCAGGTGGTAAAACTCAGTTGTTAAGGCTGTAGGTCCAGCACCAGAGTGCGAAGCGAGCTCTTTCTTCCACCTGCTACTGAAGCACGTTGGTAAGTTTCTGTTTCCTTCTTGGTATAATGAGACTGATAATGTCTACCTTAAAGAGCTATTGTCGAGGTGGCATTTTAATTTTTTTTTAACGTGTATTTATTGTTGAGAGAGAGAGACAGAGCATGAGCATGGGAGGGGCTGAGAGATGGGGAGACACAGAATTCAAAGTAGGCTCCAGGCTCTGAGCTGTCAGCACAGAACCCGAAGCGGGGCTCGAACTCACGAACCAAGAGATCGTGACCGGAGCCGAAGTCGGGCGCTGAACCGACTGAGCCACCCGGGTGCCCCGTGGTGGCATTTTAATAGCTCACGGTTATGAGTACTTGGAATGGCCTAGACACCACTTGGGAATGCCGTTGTGTAAGCTCATGCGATCCTTTGAAGGATATTGAGATCGGTGCTATGACTCACCAAGAGCAAGATGGCTTTGAGGAATCACTCGGGTTCAGCAGTAGGATGTTCTGGAACTACAATTTGAACCCAAGTGTTCTGATTCCAGAGACCCCCTCGTCTTAACCAGACACCAGCCGTGCCTCCTCAATGGCCCATTCTACCATTAAAGTTCTCCATATATGAGACAATGCACAGAAATTCTTTATACCAGAACTTAAAACATAAGTACCATTTCTTATTACTTTATCAGTACTATGTGTGTAATTATTAAGTTCTCCTGGAAAATATTAGACTGGGTTTCAGGCAACCTTCACTCTGGGCTTAGCTCTGCTGCTACCTTGATGTACGTCTTTGGACAAGTCATTTCCTTCTCTGTTGCTCATTTTTCTTACCTGTAAAATGAAGCCTGGCCGTGATACTTCCTTACTTTCTTCTCCAACAGCTTATGATTCATAGGCAAATGTAAGGGTTATGTATCAAACACCTTAGAGGCTTCACTGAGCAAACTTTAAAGACCTTCAACTTTGCTTCCTGAGTGCCTGCTTTTACTCAGTATTTTAGAGAGGATGCCAGAGCGGAGGGGAATTAAGGGGGCTAACAATTTATTCACATTTTGTGTTTCATTCCAGAACGGAGAAGAAAAAGAAAAGCAAGTTTAAAAAAAAAAAAAAGAAAGAAAAAAAACAATCCCATCTTCATTTCCCAGAGAGAGGCTCAGAGCCACAGAGGTGGAGAGATTTCATTGCCTGTCCAGAGTGATCTTGGATGTCCCTTGAAATAAATTGATCTGGGGTCCTAACATATGTAATTTCAATTTCGGTAATGGTAGGTCTGCAGCATTAGCCGCGGTTGCCAAAAAAAGGGTTGACATTTATTGCAGGCTCAGACATGGAGAAAAATGATTCTTCACATGAATACATTTGCCTAAAGCAATGATAGTCTCAGAGGGAAATCATAAACAGAAAGAAAATGCTACTTGACTACCCTCAAAGCCGGGGAAACCTAGAGAGGCTGAAGAACAAATAATTAGCATTCAGGAGAATCCGCTTTCCTTTTTTTCCTCAGCTCACTGTAACGGATTCTGCTGGTGTTCCGCCATAGCCCCTTGGTAATTTCCATTCCGTGTGTGCCAATGGCCTCCCGCTCGAGCATCTGTGCTTCTCTGCCTGGGGGCTTTCTCTGGCTGAGCGGGGGACAAGTGAGAGGCGCCAGGTGGCTGATGATCCTGGGAGCAGCCCTCAAGTGATGCCACATGGTACCAAGTGGCTGAGGATCTCAGCTTCCTCGTCTCTCAGGTAGGCCAACTTTTGGATCTGTTCTCCCCAGGCATCAGAGGTCATGAGCAAGACCGAGCCCCAGTGCCTATGTCAGTGACACACTCTTTCGCAGCACCTGCACCTGGAATTGGCTTCTGTGATGGTTTGGAGAATACACCTGTCAGATCTCTGACTGCGGGGAAGCAGCGGACTGAGAGATCCAGCGGCTTTGTTCTTACACCCAACACTGCATTTGCACCAAGACCACGCTTCCCAAGAACTGCTCTCAGCCACTGACTGAGAGACGGGGACCCTGAGGCACGTGCAATATTTCTCTGCTAGCTTCTAGGACTCAAGGGCTCCATACAGGTCTTACCAAACTTTTCTAAGAGGTCTAAGATGCTTCTGCCCGACGTTCCTTCTTCCCCATCTCCTTCCAACTTCCACTGAAATCTGACCATTCTCCAGGCTTCTCCTAGTCCCTTCCCATTTTCTCTTAACATAGACACTTTCCCCCAATGAAATTCATATACGTGTGACCCTGCCTTGGTGCCTGCTTCTCAGAGATGTGGAATAACAAAGCTTTCTTGGCTTTTTCTGTCTTATTTCCCTGTTGCCTACCAGTGTTTCCTGGAATCACCCAAATTGGGACGCCAAATTGGGATCACCCAATACACCACTTGCATTCAAATCTTTGTCTCACACCCTGCTACTAGGGACCCAACTTAAGAAGATGCTTCCTCCTTTAATTCATAACACCCCAGGTCTTATAACTTCTACGTTCCCTCCATCACCTGCCCATGCATGCGCGTGCACACACACACGCGCGCACACACAAGCGCACACACACACGCATGTGTAAACACTGGCAACGGAGAACTTTAATATAAAATCATTTGAGACAATATTCTTCCACAGGTTTAAACCCAAAGTAGGTAGTGAATATTAAATGCAGACGTTTATTAGAGACTTCAAAGGGGGAAGTGCTGAAATCACAGATGCCTAATGATTGATTAATGTTCAGTCCTACTTCATACATGGGATCCATATAATGATGGTTTACATCTGGATGCTTCAGCAGGACCCATCAAAGCGTCCAGATTCTACAAAGATTAGAAATGATATGAAAGTTTCCAGGACAAAGGGTGAAGATAGCGGTAGCAAACTGATAAGGCCTTTCTCTTTGAGAACGCTACCGTATACAATAGGGTTAGTGACCATGCTGAATTGGAAGAAGGCTTAAATTGGGAGAAGAATGAAAGGCCAACGTGGAGTCAAGGGGCTTATTATTATCGATTTGAGCCTTGTATAAAAACCTGCCCATTTGAAGCTCTCTTGAGATTTTATCTTTCTTCTGGCTGGCTTTATCTGGATAATACACTTTCACTAGTTAATGCTTATCAGATGAATGCGCATCCTCCCTCTTGTTGCCTGGGAATAAGAGAGCCCTGGCACTGATAATATGGAGCAGATTTTAATCCAGGGTCCATGACCTCATCACCTTGAGCAGCATGGACACACCACACGTTAGGTAGTTTTGTATCCTATCTACTCCATTCACGTTTTTATAACAGCCATTGCTATGATCATGGTTTGCAAGTGAATGGATTCTTAAACCACTTCCCTCTGTTGCACTAAACATCTCATGCTGTCACATGAATTCCTTGTAACAATTAGATAAGCCATTTTTGACACATGGACGAGCCTGGAATTATAATAGAGTTAATACTCTGTGGCTCCAATTCCTGACCAATGGGATATTGAAGCCAACGGTTAAATACAACCTTTTCCTGTCCCTCAGGTGGACAAGTTGGGGGATCATGACACACGGATCAAAGGTTTCCCAACAGAATTTAGCCTAAGAGATCCATACTGTGACCATCCCAACAACAAACTCTAAAGTATTCTTTCCTTCCTTCCTTGCTTGCTTCATTTTCCTAATGCCCTATCCTTTTCCTTGGGACTGCTTCCCGAAATTAACTATACAATGCAAGCCTTTGCCTGAGATTCTGCTTTTTGAGAAAGCTTGACTAACACTAGTATCTAAAACTCATGGGAGAAAGGACAAAGGTAAAATCTAGGAAAACCTGGAGAAAAGAATTTGATATGGCTAAGGGCAGATCATCTGCCTGGAGGTCGGTCCAGAAGCTCAACACACAGTATGGTAAAAACTTCAGTTTTATTTGAACTAAATTTGGTATCTGGGGATCTCCAATAGAATGGATAGGGTCCAAAATACTAAAATAAGGAGTTCTTGGTAGGGGGTGGATCTGCAATTTCAAAGAGTGGGAGATGAGGTGTTTCTCAGTGGTCATACTTTTTTTTTTTAACGTTTATTTATTTTTGAGACAGAGAGAGGCAGAGCATGAACGGGGGAGGGTCAGAGAGAGGGAGACACAGAATCTGAAACAGGCTCCAGGCTCTGAGCTGTCAGCACAGAGCCCGATGCGGGGCTCGAACTCACGGACCGCGAGATCATGACCTGAGCCAAAGTCGGCCGCTTAACCGACTGAGCCACCCAGGTGCCCCTCAGTGGTCATACTTTTTAAACTAACAATACAGTTAGGCATGGAAGCCACAGCACCATCAGGAAGGAGACAGGATTGGTGGTTAGGGGTTGTCCAGAGCCTCATGCCCTTCCACGCAGGTGAAGCTCCTTATAGTCATGACAGGACTGCCCAATACACTTGCAGTCACCTAAACAAATGAAAAAAAAAAAAAAAAAAAACCTGTCAATTGTGTACATTCTGCAAAAGCATAAGATAGCAGACAAAAATAATCGACATAAAAATATTAAAAGACAAGTATGAATAGCACCATTTAACTTGAATTAAATTAAATTAATTTAATTTATTGTTTCTTGGAGATACCCATTGCCATTGTTTCATGGAGATACCCACCATAATCCTATTCAAATGACACAACCCCTCCCCCAAGAATTTTATACATACAGCATCTATGTCAGTCACTGAGTATATGGAGACCTGTGACCCGAGGCAGAAGGTTATTTGGATAGATTGGGCAATTGGGGGACTGTGACTCAGTGGGTGAAGCATCCACCTAAGGCAAACCAGACAATGGACCCAAGGCAACATAGATGGGTTAGAGACCTCAGGAGCTATCCGGGAAAAGGATGCTAAAACGCAAACTGTTGGGTCCAGGACTTCTCAGGAGCTAGGTGATGCAGTCAAGGGTCACTGGAGGTACCATAGCTTCATAAAACTCACGAAAGGAGGATTTAAGAGCACTCAGCCAGGGTAGCAACTGTGAGGCCATGGTGTATAACACAGGTGTATTAGAGAGAGACCTTTCTCATCCATCTATATCAACAAAGCAGGTGCTTTTAAGGTACTAGGGCAGTGATTCTCAATCAGGGGTGAGTTGCACCTCCCAGAGATATTTGGCGATGTCTAACGATATTCTTTGGCTGCCACAACTGGGGAGTTGCCCCTAGTGTGTCTTGAGTAGAGGGCAGGGGTCCTGATAAGCATCCTGCAGATCCCTACAGTCCCCATGACAAAAATTTACCTGGCCCAATGTCAATAGCACCAAGGCCGAGAGATTCTAGACTACAGGGATGTTTACATCCTTCTCAGAGTTCCTCAGTAGGTAAGAGGAAAAGAGCCTGCTCTCCATAAAGGGTAGGAGGGAAATTACATTTCATGGCACCTGACACGTGCCAAGTCTAGTACACAACTTCCTTTGAATGTCACAAACAAGAGTAGGTATAATGACATCACTTTACGGAAAAGAAATAGAGTCTCAGAAACAGAAGCAACGATCCAATAAATAACTCATCTTAGCTTGGACTTAAATCTTTTATAGACAAAGCCCAAAGCTGAGACCTTACTGGAAAAAAAGAAATACATTAGTTAGTTTTTCTAGTTTCAAAATGAAAATCATTTTCATCGATCGCTTATAATTTGTAACAAGGCAGGAAAATGTCACTGTGCTCATGACTGGTTTTATGTGCCAATAAGTTCAGTCTCAAGCTAGTAGCTTTTAATAAACGTAGACATCATGCTATTAGAATGTTTATTTAATCATTAAGTTTTATTTAGCACTGAAATATAAGGAATAGTTTTATCAGGGAGGTAGGATGACAGATTATTTTTATGACTGCCTAATTATTTTCCCCCAAAGTTTATAGATTTTTTATAATAAGCATATACTGAAAACTATAAAGTTGCCAGATAGGTATATTTTAATGTGGTATAAATATAACAATTGTTTCAAGATACAGAATAAATGGCAGATAATATAGATGTTATTTGGGGATTCTTTGGATTAGCTGACCAGGAAATTCAAAATTCAATTCCATTGAATACGACCATTCCTCGCCTCCAAGCAACTTGCAAAATAGGGTTTTGTCCAAACGGATTCAAATATTTGTAATGCCTTCTTCTTAGGGTTGCCTGTGAAGTTTCTGTGAATAATCCCACAGCTAATTCGAATTTCATCTTTCCACAAATATTCCATCCATCGTTATTGGGTGTAATATCCCCTACCCTTCTAGACCTAGAGTCCCTTCCTTGAATTGTGGTGTTCTAGTTATATCATTCTTAGTTTCCTCCCCAAAATTACGAGCTTCAAAGGCCAAGTTTTATGCTTATTCAGCTATATATTTTCTTATCACGGAATGCAGTATTCTGCAAATAGAAGGAAGTCCATAAATGTTTGCTTTGGTGAAACAATTCTAGCCCTTGGGCCAAGGCGTTAACAGAGTACCAGAATCCCAGAGAAGAAACAGGTGTGGGGTGTTGCAAAGAGAGTCTATGCTTAGCAGGCATGTTTATATTCAGGGTTAGTGGCCTGTATTTTTAATTTACCTGATTTTTCCACAGTATTGACTTTTTTCTTAAATAATTTCTTATGTAGATCTGAAGATCAGAAGTCTTTCAAGTTGAAGCCCTGCCTACACAGTCATTTATGAGCTGTACAAAAAAAAAAAAAAAAAAAAAAGAAAGAAAGAAAAAAAGAAAAAAGAAAGAAAGAAAATAAAGAAAAGAAAACGCCAAGGAACATTAAAAATCTCTGACATGAAAAATATGTCACAACACGAGGTTTTAAGGTGGACCAAGTAAAGAAATAGGAAGCTTTACATTTGCGGAGCTGCTCTAGAGGAAAGGTTTAGACTGCCCTGGCGTCAAGTTTAACCCCACATCCAACAGGTGTTGGTGAATTGCATCGGAACAATGAGTGAAGTCTGCCATCTACAGGCCCCTATGTGTATTACAGCATAGGCTCCCGCAGACCTTGAACCTGAGAAGGCAGGAGTCTTGGATAACAGGACTGCCCCACGATGGGATCTCAAAGACACAATCCCATGACAATCCTGAGACAACCCTATGTTGAATTATTTGGGGTCTATGTTTTGTTTCCATCCTTCAATATAGGTATATAAGCAAAATGTTAAAGCTAGCTAAAAGAAAAACTCCCATCCACCCCCTTTCCTGCCAAATCATTACTTGACAAAATTGAAGATGTGAGCTTTCTGCCTCCGCCATTTTTATTTTTATCTTAGTGTTCTGACCTTTCTTTGCATTGTAATTGACTCTATCTATGTCTATCTACCTAGGAATCGGTTAATTCAGTGCAGGAAACCCCTAGAAAGTTAACTCAGTGCAATTCCTACAGCGTAGGAAACTCCTAGAACTGATTTTGGTACGCCCTCTTGTCAAGCCCAATGTCTGGCACATAGCAAATGTTCCACAAAGATTGGATGCATGATAATTACGGGAATAAAAATGCATGAATAAGAAGGCAAATCAATAAACTAATTATTTCTAGGTACTCTTGTTCCAAATTACCTATGAATTTATGAATAAAAAATGAATACATGAACACATACATATTTATGGAAAATGTGAATATATATATATGTATATATATGCATATATGCATATATACATATATATACACACATATATACACCTGTACCTCTCTGGGTATCTTTGTCAGTTGTTTAGCAACTTCTGTAATAAATCCAGGGGGTTGCCACTTTTTCTTAAAACCTTAAATCCGTATATTTAAGATTTTATAAATTCAGCTTTAGGGCCCCAGTTATGTCATGTCATCAGACCAAACGTTCTGAAAGATTTATCTTATTTATAAAGTAAATGTGGTACCAAGGTCATAGTTATTACTTCTCATTTATTTTATCCTTTCCGCAATTGACTGTCTAGCTCTAGTCAGAGGAAATGAGAACCAAGGAAAAATGTTTAGATAAGATCATTATAGACAGAATGAAAAAGAAAGTAGAAAAATAAGGTAAAAATTGTTTCTCCTAAGAGACCTGGATTCTCTTCCCGGTTCTCTCTACCAACACAACCTTGAGGAAACTTTTGGGGTTGTTAATCTTGACTGATCTTTCAAAGGAAGGGGCCGAAATTCATCGTTCACTGTTGTGTGCCAGGCACTGTGCTCAGTATTTCCCTGAATTGTCACATTTAATATGCCCGGCAGCCCCAGACTGGGAGACACAGACAGATACACCATTTGATGGGCATGAAATTGAATTTCCGGGTGACTGTTTCTGCAGGGTCACATTTCAGGAGGTACCGTGGTGCACTGGAACCAGCTCATACCAGCTTGTAAGAGCCCACTCCCCATTCAGAAATGCCGTATTGGTCGCTTGGAGTCAGCCACAGTGGAGCTATTCATGAACACGTAGATCAGGGATTCCCACGAATCAGCCCCGACTCCTCCCCCAAGAGTGGATTGTTTAATATGTACCAGCACCCCCCTGGTTACAAAGCAATAATAAAAGTTTAAGAATAATTGACTCCAAATGCATGTTCTTTCAAATAGACCACAGTACCCTAGAGTTAAGGGATAGCCCATTTAAGATTTATATAGCAATTTATAGTGGTTAAAACAATACTGTTATGTCTATGTAGGTTCAATGAGATGAAGCTAATCTCTGTTTCTCCTTTCTTCCTCCCTGTTTCCTCCCTCCTCCTCCCTTCCCAGCAGAGCCCCAGCCACATCCTGGGGGCCTGCTGTGTGCTCAGTGTTTGACAGAAACTACAAGATTCACAACGCTGAAGGAAATAAGGCCTGGGTCGGGTAAGGGATTTAGAGAAAACCACGAGGTAACTAGGTACGGAGCCCTGAATCCAGAATGAAGTTTCCCTCCCTTTGATCTGCTCTGTGAGTCTCCTGGTGACTCCCCAGACCTAGTCCTCAAGTTCCGTCTTCTGACACATTCCGGATACCCACACTTCTCCCTTTATTCATTTCTTCAACAAACAGCTGAGCACAGAGTGTGTGAGACACATTGTTTCCACCACTTAAGATGCAGTCGTGAAGTCAGGAGGGGACTGCCAGTCTCTGGCCCTGGCAACTTCCCCTCTGGTGGGGGACACAGAAGCCGCAGGGACAGAATAGCAAGACAGTCCGGCCAGAGGGGCTCGGGTTTGAATCGTAGGTGCACCTCTGTCTGTGCGACCGTGGGCGGGTTACTTAACCTCTTTGTGCCTCAGTTCCCTCTCATACTTTAAGAGGAAATAAGAACAGTCCCCATGTCTTAAAGGATTACATTTTGTAATTTTTTTTTTTTTTTAGTATTTATTTATTTGGGGGAGTGCGCGAGCAGGGGAGAGGCAGAGAGGGAGGGACAGAGGATCCGAAACGGGCTCTGAGCTGCCAGCAAGAGGCAGATGCGGGGCTCAAACTCGCGAACCTCCAGACCTGAG